GCCAGGAGTCTCGTCAGCGCCACGAGAGGTTGGAGTGATCATCTCGCCTGGCAGTCGGAGGGTAGTGCCGAAAACCAATTCAGCTGTGTTACAGCCCAGATCCGACTTCAGAGCTGCGCGGATGCCGAGGAGTGCAAGGGGAAGGTTGTCCGACCAGTTTCCTGGGTCTTCTACGACACGCAGGGGGGTCTTTAGCTGACGATGGAAACGTTGCACGAGAGATAACTCGGAAGGGGCCGTCGTAGGGTGGTTCCAGGGGCCGACGGACTCGATCACATCGGAGATAGACGTGAGAGCACGTTGCCAAGTCCTTCTCGAGATAAGACGGAGAGGCGGAGGTTGCGTGTTCGGATCACGTCGGGGTCAACAATTGTCGAATGTCGTGTGGTCGACAAGATAAAGATTCCCAATCAAAAGTCAGGGAAGACGGTTTGAGTTGGACAACCTTTACTGCCTGAGAAAGTGCGTGCACAAGGGCTCTGTAGGCAAGCTGTTGTCTGCGTCCGCCCTCGAGGCGTTGTCTTAGCGCGTGTGTGCGCCCTTCGTTGTCTCCACGTCGCCAGCCAATCAGAGTGGGGACAGCGTTGATTGGCTTCGAGCGGTCGCGCGTCCCAGCAGCGTCTCGACACGCAGTGTGAGGCGGACGGGACGGCAGCGTGACAAAGGCGGAGGGTGAGGAGACGCGAACCGCCACAGGGCCTACCTCTGAACTTCGATTGAAATAGTCACATATTCATCACGCGTGCATTCTTCGGTAAGATCATGCCTACGTTGAATGCAAGGTATTCAATTTAGCGACGTTTTGCCTTACTTGAGTAACGTTTGCTTCTTAGTGTATCTGATGGCATGCTTATCCATAGTATTCTGCTGTTCATTTAGTTAGTTATCACTTAGTTTGAGATGAACTTACACAAATTCGTGTATTTTGAACCCGAGTATTATATTTTGACAAAACGTTAAATACAGGGTACGAAATTCAATTGTTAATGGCCTTGCCGATGGATTTCTAATGGATCTTCGAAAATTTAGTAAAACATGAAGGCGCCTGCAATAATGTGACGAGTTAAAGTAGTTCACATATTCTACACCTAGATCCCATCTTCATAAAATTATATACTCGAACGAACGTTTTCATTCGGTTTTATATAAAGTTCCTAATAATGACATGTTTTAATACCTTAAAATCTACGTTCATAAAACAACATGTCTCTGAGTTAAAAAATGCGGTTTGTGAAGTTAACAATGTAACTCATTTCCACAGCTATATTTTATGAACCCATAATATTCTCGTAGAGAAACGTGTGGTTCCCGTGCGCGAAAAATATATGGCTTGTACTTTGGTGATACGATAGGACGTATCCTAAAGGGCACTCGAACCTACGGATTGTCAAAGTAGCTGTTCCAACGTCTCAGCATTCTGGCCTCCGATTCGCACTCAATTCTTGGAAAAAACTTAAAGGAGTTAGTCTCCTGCCAAGCGATATCATGGTTTGCTTTGATTTCACGTCCCTTTTTACTTCAAGCCCACAGGACCTGGCGGTCGAGACCATCGAACTACTCCTACGAGAAAAATACGACGAAAATACGACCAAAATTTTGGGCTCCGTATGTGGATGACACATTCGACATCTTCGAACGGCATCAGGTGCTGACATTCAAAGAAGAACTCAACGCCGTCTTCCCAGACATTCAATTTACGATGGAGGAGGAGGAGGAGGAGGAGGAAAACAATCAGCTGGCCTTCCTGGATGTCCTCGTCTGCCGCAAAGATTGTGGTGGCCTAAAAACCAAAGTGTTCAGGAAAGCGGCTAATACGACGCAAATACTGAACTTCAATAGCAACCACCCGATCAGTCACAAACGCAGTTGCGTAAGGGCACTATCCCGGCGTGTTGAGACGCACTGCAGTGAAATGGAAGACAAAACTGCTGAATTGCAATCTCCTCGATGGGTAATGAGAGGCAATGGTTACCCGCGCAACTTTATCAACAAGTGCATATGAAAAGGACACCAGAGACCAAATCCGACCGCCCCAAACTTCGGTGGGCTCTTCGTACGTTAAAAACGTCTCGAAAGCCGTCCGGCGTCTTCTCACTCCACCTGGAGTTGGGGTTGCACACAGGCCGAAAGCAACCATTAGACGCCAAGCCATAAGGCCAAAAGACCCGCTGCCACGGCAGGAAACGTCTGGAATCGTTTACCGGTTCTGGTGTAGCGGCGGACATAGCAAATATGTCGGAGAAACTGCGAGATTACTCCGTACGCGAAATGCCGAGCACTCAGCAGCAGTGAGGCGGGGAGACGCTAAGACTCAGGTGGCGGTACACTCGACGGGACCGGGGCATATTTTCAAATTTGAAGAGGCCGAAGTCCTCGCAAGTAGCGACAACCGCGTGAGCCGCAAACTGCTCGAGTTATGGTTCTCAGGCCCGCAATCCATCAATAAGCACAATGACCTCCCGCTACCCTATAGCGTACTGCGATTTTCCCTGGGTAGGAGAATCAGACACGTGGGGAGGGCGCGGGCGACCAATTATCACAGTGACAGTGAGCTAGTTTGCCGAGCAATCGTCACACCAACATCCAGCACGGATGATTAAATTGCCGCAATTAACGACTCGGAATCGGACTGACAAGGCACCACCGCATCAATTACGACCCCAGCAGTGATTGCGAGAACTGTTAATTGCAGTGCGCATACGGTCCCACGGCAGCCACGTGCTATAAATACTGCACTTCTGGTATCGCCATCACCTTTATCTGCGAATGTCTTTGATGACGGATTCGAGTGAGAATCCGAAACGTCAGGCAAATACATTTCTTGTTCCAGTGATATCATCTTCCTCTTCTGAACTGCCACCTGGAACTCGCCTGTTCGTTTCTATCAGCAAATGCATGATAACGTTGCAGGTATTTTATGCTCAGCATAGTTTTTTATGCAGCTGCAAAGAATTTTTGTTGAAGATGAAGACTTGTTGTAACTGGATTATTATAATCCTATTCCGTATGGTGATTAGTTTTCCAACACCACTTAATTAATATTTTCGAAACGAAAACGCCTTTCGCGATTTCAGCCGACATTTTATGAATAAGTCCACCTACTTTTGCTTCCCCCGCTAAGACGTCTTCCGTCGAAGAAAATCCTTAAGCTCTTGCTGCTATATTACCCGCCCAAGGGAATCTTCGAGTGCGGCATTTGTGTGATCTGGCCTGATTTCATTTCAAACCAGAAAGCAGGTGTCCCCAGTTAAGATCAGTTCATTTGTTTTCATTGACCTTGGTGCAGCCCGATGACTCCAAAATACCTAACTTAGTAGTTATCAGCAAGCGTCATTTGTACACACGGGCTAGTCTGCGGAAACCTAAAGTTCAAACAATATTTGAATCTCGCGACCATCAATGGAAAATTGACTGTCTGACCGACGGAGCTGCCTGACTGCATATAACAACAGTGGGTTGGGTGCTTGAGCGGTGTGATGGACCAACAAGCGTGAGACATCGTATGCACAGGCTAATGGTTGCTCTCAATTCCAACCGGTTTAACTAACAGTCAAATTGTGAAGATAACACTAAAGTTACTAATGCTATTTCTTGCTCTTAAGGTCCAACATGCCACTAGCTGTCGTGATGAATACGTTCTCAAAAACATGCAGAAATTCTCTCTAAGATTCATATGTGAAACCTACTTAACGCAGATTGTTTCGCCGAGGTGCTGTTGTGCTGCCGAAGTGATTTCAGCAATAAATTTCGGCTCAGAATATTTGGAATACTAAAGAATTACGCTTGACTAAAATTGACACGACTTGCGTTTTTTAGTTGTTCGTAATGTAAACGATTCATTTCACTTCATTTCTATCGTCCACACCAATGATAAGGACGCCAATACAACTATAAAATAAAATTACCAGTATAACAATATAAGGTTTCTTAACTTCTCAGAATCCAAAAAAGTTGAATGCGAGCCTTGAGACAAATAAGAACGAATTGGGGTTTTTTTGTCTCGATGATGCCCATATTGACATGTAGTTAGTAATCACTTTGTAGTTTAATCAGTACCGACAGTATCAGTGGAGATACCCTCTGTGTTGTAGAGAACAAGAAATTTAAAATGGTTTCAGCGAGCTCACGCGTACCACCAGACTGACATAGTACTGCATTTTCCAAATCCCGTCTCGGAAGCTCTCGGTGAAATTCAGAAAAAATGGTCTGAGTAATGCTGATCATTCCACTACAACAAAGCGACGCCAACGCATGCTGAACAACCTTCGAATCATCTATGATATACTTCACAAAACAATACTGTCCTACCTCCAGAATCATCCAATCGGTAACAAACAGAAATGGTTGATACCATCGGTTATGAACGGAATCCGAAAACAACGCAGGTTGCGGAAAACATTCTTACAAACGGAGAATCCAGAAAACTTCAAAAAGTTAGACAACAACGAAACGAAATGCAAAAAACTCATCGGTGGAGTACGTGCTTCTTATAAACTAAAGCTGCTAGAAGAAACAGAACAAAAGTTTAATGCATTTTATTGATACATCAGGAGCAATACAAAAAACCGAGAATATATGTAAGCCTTACAGTACAAAATAGCCATATTGCGCGAGATGGCTTTTAAGAGCATGGACTTCTTTTAGAGCCTTTTCTAAGGGTCTATACTCTGGAATCACCCCATTAGACCTGTACTCTACCAAAGCACTCCATCCAACCACTTATAAAAATAGTTTTATTAAAAGGAAGCTATGTTCGGCAAAGTTAAGTAAGCTGGATCTTGCCAATTCACATAGATCGGATGAGATTCCAGGTATACATCACTTAGCTGAAGAACCACTATCTTTGATTTTCCGAAAATCGCTGGAGGATGGCAAGTTACCTGACACGGAGGTTGACAACGATCACTGTAATATCGTGCCGACTTCTGGCCGAAGATTTTGGCATGCATTTGCTGCAAGCTGTTGTTATAGATAAATTAAAATCTATGAGGTTACTCGAAAAATTTCGCTGTCATATATGTTCAGTTCAATATGGCTTCTGTGAAAGGAGGTCCTGCTTCAATACCCTGCTAACGTTTTTGGCGCATGGATAATGGACATCCGGGTGAAGTCATATACTGTGATTTCAGCCAGGCTATCGATTGCGTCCCGTATTTTTGTGGCGACCAAAAGCTGTCAGAAGTAGGGATAGGAGGAAATCTTCTGAACCAGACTAAATACTTCTTAAACGGTCGAAGACAAAGTGTAATTGCGGGTGGCTCCTGCTCAGAATGGGCATCTTTTAACATTCAAAACGCACAGAGACAAATTGTTGGGCCACTGTTGTTCGTTATCTCAGTAACTGATCTAATACGGGAAGTCAAATCGGAAATAGCGCGCTAAGCAAACGACCATAAACGTTAGAGAATGATAAAAGAATAAGGTAATAAGACACAGCCAGAGTACGTAGAGAACTTGCGCGTACAGACGGTGAAATGATGAATGAAATTCAACGTAAACATTGCCGATACAAGCGAAAATGCGAGTTCCAGGAACTAGTTGATCAGAAGAATAAGCGATCTCTGGAACAATGGCTTTATTCGCCTGACGTTTCGGATTCTCTCTTGAATCCATCATCAGAGACAGTTGCAGAAAAGGGTGGCTAGTGTATAGGCAGTCGCAGTATTTATAGGATGCGGTCGCCATGCTACCGCATACCTACAGCAATTAACCGTGCTCCCTTCATCAAGGATTGTTGCCCGCTGGTGCGCTAATTGCTTGATGGCCGACATGCAAGTTGTTAATTGCTGACATCTCATCACCCGTGTTGGATGCTGGCGTGATGATTGCTCGGCCATCTGGCTCACGTGCATGCGCGCTCCTCGAGTGGTGAATTGCTTTGGCCAGTCTATGCCTCAGGACAGAATATGGAGTGGGGATGACGTTGCACTTGTTGATAGACTGAGGTCCCGTGAACCATGACTCAAGCAACTCGCGGCTCACGCGATTATCCTCTCTCCAGAGAATTTCGGCCTCATCGAACTGGAATGTGTGGCCGGGTCTCGTCGAATGGGCCGCGACCTGAGAGTTGACGTCATTTCTCCGTACAGCTGCCACGTGTTCGGCAATTCGCGTCCGGAGCAGTCTTCCAGTTTCTCCGACGTAGTTGCTTTGTCCGCAACTGCACCAGATCCGGTAAACGACTCCAGATGTTTCTTGCCGTGGCAGTGGGTCTTTTGGTCTCATCACTTGACGCCTCATGGTGGCCTCCGGTCTGTGCCCAACTTCAACCCCAAGTGATGCAAGAAGGCGACTAACGGCCTCGGAGACGTTCTTGATGTACGGGATCGCTCGCCAGAATTTGGGGTCGGCGCGATTTTGTCGCTCGTCTCGTTTGCGCAAGCACTGGTTGACGAAGTTGCGCAGGTAACCGTTTTCTCGGAAAACCCGTCGAAGATATTGGGATTCGGCAACCTTGTCTTCCGGTTCAATTCAATGCGTTTCAACACGCCGAAATAGCGTTCTTACGCAACTGCGTTTGTGGCAGATTGGGTGGTTACTGTTGAAGTTCAGAATTTGCGTCGTGTTCGTTGCTTTTCTGAACACTTTGGTCTTTAGGCCACCACAGTCTTTGCGACAGACGAGGACATCAAGGAATGCCAGCTGGTTATTCTCTTCCTCCTCCATCGTGAATTGTCTGTCCGGGAAGACGCTGTTGAGACGTTCTTTGAACGTTAGCACCTGATCTCGTTCGATGACGACGAAGGTATCGTCCACATACCGAGCCCAGAATTTCGGTCTGTGGTGTTGGAAGACCAGCGACTCCAACCGCTGTAGCACCGCCTCGGCAATGAATCCCGAAATCGGCGAGCCCATTGTTGCTCCCTTCACTTGCTCGTAGATTGTTTCGTCAAACGTGAAGTACGTCCTGAGACAGAACTTTAGGAGCTGAAGGACTTGTGCATGTCCGAGACGATTCTCCGTTTCATCGTATTTGTTTCGTAGGAGTAGCTGGACGGTCTCGATTGCCAGATCCTGGGGGATAGAAGTAAAGATGGACGTGACATCAAAAGATACCATGACCTCATTGGGCAAGAGACTTACTCCTTTAAGCTTCTCCGGGAATTGCGTTGACGAACAGACCGTGGTGTCCGAATCAGCAGTCAGAAATTTGAGGCGCCGAAACAGCTATCTTGCCAGTCCGTACGTTGGAGTGCCTTTGAGCGAAACAATGGGCCGGAGAGGAGCGCCCTCCTTGTGCACCTTTGGAAGACCATAGAATCGGGCCAAAGCCGTTTCTTGAGCTCTCGCCATGTGTCGGTCGGTCGCTGTTATTGCACCCGAGTTCTCCAGTGCCAACAGTGTTGCATTAATTTCGCGTGTCAGCGTTTTTATGGGATTGGTTTCACATGGGACATAGAACTGGCGATCCTCCAGTAGGTTTTTGGCCTTCTGAAAGTAGTCTGTTCTGTCCAGTACGACGGTGGAACGCCCCTTGTCCGCGGGCACAATGGCGATGTTCTTGTCGGTCTTGAGGTCTCTTAGTGCATCGCGTTCGACCTTTGTAAGAGTTTCGCGCGGCTTGTGAGTCATAAGGAGGGACGTAACTTGGTGTCGGATAAGATTCTTCGTCTCCTCAGCCGCTTCCGTCTGATTAATGACCGATTCCACTGCTGCAATCATGTTGACAGGTTTGGCGTCAGCTGTGTTGAATGAGGCTTAGTACCGTAAAACCTGTGCTTGCTCCTTCGTCAGTTACTTTGACGACAGGTTGTGTACCAGTGTGCCGCTTCTGGATGACGTTGGATCAGGCAGTTTGTGGAATTTGTTCCCCAG